TTCGTGAAAAGGGGCTAAATTTGTTCCATTTTACGTCAGATTTTCTATACTACCAGAAGATTTTATATGGGCGCTTCATTCATTCTATTTCATCTAATAGGGTATTTGAATTTCATACAACCCTACAGTTTCAACTTCCCCTTAACCGGTCTCATCAGCACTACCGGTGGTACTCAAACCCGACTTGTGGTGGTGCATCATACAGCTTGAACATGCTAAAAATTACGCTTTTCCCATTTCCCATTGCTCTGGTCGGCTTTTCAATTGGAATGCACAACTCAGTTTCTGTTTATAAGTGGCTGGTCTTCAAGCCTACAAGTTGACAGTCTGTCGGAGCTGTTGGGCCTATTCGTGTGATTTTGGACATAGGCATCGATGAATATCTTTCGTCATCATAAACGAAATTGTGTGAATAGAGCTCGAGTAAAAGAGGTGAATTTGCCATCGACGTCAGATGGTGTACAGCTGACCGGGCGGGCCTGGGGCCGAACTTACGGACACAAACGTTGGCGTCTCGCAGCGTCGCTCTGGCCCAGGGCCTGTCGACGTATCCGGGCCGGCAACGCTCACAGTCGACTCCTTCTGTGTTGTGCTCACAGGCGCAGGCCAGGTTGCCGCCCGACTCAACGTCTCGGATGCATCGGTTCGAGTGACCGTTGCATTTGCATCTGCCGCCCACGGCAATGTCGGAGAAGGCGAAATACTCGTCGGCGTAGAGACGAGCAATCTGCTCCGGCCGCTTGAGCCTTCTGCCTTCCGAGGCCGGACCGGTGACGGCCCTGACAACAGACGCATTCTCGTCGTCAAGGGAGCCCGGCAACAACTGTTTGTCCGCCCTGGACGACGGCAGACGTTCGTTGTCGTCTGTCGGGCCGGCCGGGCCGGCGGGGCCGGGCAAGAGACGACGGGAGTCGGCGGCGACCCGACGACTGGGTCGTCGAGATCTGTCGATTTGGTCGCCGGGCGACTCGGTCGGACTGCGCAGGTGACGGGCTTGGGGCTCGCGGACGCGTGGGAACCGGATGAGGCTGATCTTCAAATCCGTCATGGTCATCCAATCGACGAGGGCCGGGCTCCATGGCTGCACCGAGGGCCGGCCGATGGTGGTGCTGAAGGCGGCCACCCAATCGCCGGCCTCGCCGGCCAGAGCAGATGCCGGCGTCAAGAGGTAGTCGTCAAGGCCACGTGGTCCAGTCGTCTGATTGGCCGGAGAGGCTCGAGTGTGTCGAAGGCGCGGCTGGAAGAGGTGGCGTCGGCGCAGGGCTCGAGCCGGCCAGGCGATGGCGGGCGGCGGCTTCAAGGCGACGCACAAGACCTCCTGAAGGTTCTCCGGCGTGATGTGGGTGTTGTGCTCGCTGGTGGTCGGCATGCCGAAAGCGCGTCGGCAGTCGTGCGAGAAGTACTGCCAGGCCGTCCAGACGGCGCCGTGGTCGGACGACTTGAAGATGGCGATGGCGTCGGGCAGCGCGCCGGCGCTGCTGCACGGCTGGAGGGAGATGTAGAAGACCTCGAAGCGTTTGCCCAACGAAATGGTCAGGTTGACCGCGCTCGCCCAGAGACCGCCGGTCTCGGGCCGGCCTGGCGACACCCGGTCCGAGGCCCAGCAGGTCGGCCGGTCCGGCGAGGTGGCGTCGGTCAGCCGGTCCGCCGAATGGCGGCCGTCCGGCCGGGCCGGGTCGCACAGTCGACAGACGCCGTCGACGCCGCACAGCTCGACCGGTCCGGCCGCCGTCTCGCCGCACGTCGACGTCGCTTGCACCGGCGCCGAGCGGATGATGTTCGTGAAGGCCGGCATGCATTGGAACGCCTTGCCTTCGGACTCGCACACCGAACTGGCGCTCGTCGGCGTCGATGCACTCGGAGCCGGCACCGACGC